TGATTATAAATGTACATGTACTTGCTTTAACTGCTTTATTAAAAGTGTTACATGCATAGTGACTACATATCTGTCAATTTAGAGGCTAAACAAACAAGACAGATAGAAATCCACTAATCAGACCACTAGCATGGACTTTAGAGCCTTTGCATGTGGTGTGGTTTATTTCAAAATAATAACAGGTCAAGACAGATGTAGAAAGATGGCCATATGGGTAGCCACTATGCATGTCATACTGAAAGCAGCTACTGTATGATAAACAGGGTGCACTGCACAATAATAACAGAAATTGAACTTGAGATTTTTCTCTGGTTGCCATGGGAAATAGTCTTTGGTGTTATTACAGATAATTAATTATATCTATAGCACTTGAAAATGTAAAAAAGAATGCAATATTGTTTAAACTGTTCTGGTACAAGGTTTTTGTCCACTGAAAGTTGAAATTACTCAATTTCTTGAGGATTCTGTCCTAACACAGTTCACAGATATCAATTCATTCTTTCCCACACAATATCAAGGACAAAAAATGGATACAATTATTTTTAGCATGATTCTTCTGAATTTTATGTGAAATTCCGCATTAAGAACAAAACATTCTGCCCAGGAGTGAATAGCACTCTTTGTAGCCAACTACAGCATGAGTCGTTTATCAAGTGTTAATCACTGTGGCTGCATTTATCAAAATTGTGAAAGTGAGTGGCTATATGATAACATACTATCCTCCTTATTCAATCAGTCCATAATTCTTTTTGTAGGTAGCATCAATGTAGAAAATACCTGCTGTCCAAGGAAAGTTTGAAAGTCGCTCATCTGCTTCAAGTTTTCCTTCAGCAATTAACTGTTTGAGGCTACATCCAACAATGTTTAATGGAAGGTTGTGCATCACATCAAAGACTATGTCTCTGATTACATCAAAACCATACAAGCTGTTAAGGCGATGCAGGATGCTTAACCCTGTGTAACCGGTGTCTCTGCTCAATCTTTCACGAACAGTTCGGCGGTCTTCAGCATCAATCTCTTTCATTTTAGCAACTTCTGTCTCAAGTTTCCGACTCTCTGGGGGGAATCTAGTAGCAAAACGGTTTTGTCCATAGTAATAGGTTGTCCCAGTACCACTTGGGTTAATAGTACCTGTTGCATGTACACATGTCCCAGTAAAAAAAAAATCCTTAATATAAAAGCTTATTAAATGACAGTGTGCTATGGTTTTATAACACACTTGAATTTTATCACTCCATTAATGTTTCATTTGTCCACATCTGCAGTTGATCACCTTTGTGTTAAAAAAAAAATCTAATTTCAGTAATATTAATGTGTGGACATCTAAAGTGTCAGCCAACATTCACGACAATGCCAGTGACTCAACAACCCAAAAAAATATCTCATGACCTGGATAAGTGGTAATCTTTTGAGAATTAACAGATTAATATGTCATAATCTTCCTGCTCACCTTTAATTTTGTCTCTTCTGCATGCTAGTATTCCCCCATTGATAAACTTTCCAACCTCACTTTGGGCTGGATAGTCACCAGTCCAAAGAAGAAGCAAAATGCGTACATTAATATCGCTTGAAAGCAGATTCAACTCAGGGAAATTGCCAGCATAGTACACCTTATAACCTGTTGACAGACAATAAAAGGTTGATTGAATGTGAATGTATCAATCTCAGGGCATAGCTATTTTTTCCAGTGAAAGGCTTTTCAATTCAGCGTCATTTACTGAACACAAAAATTCATGTATAGTACTAACACTAAAAAGAATATTTCTAACATTATTTCCACTGAAAATGTTTTTTATAAGATAGTAATAATTATTTAATGCCCGAAGGGGAAGGGGGCAGGGGATAGGGTAAGAGGAGACCTGGAAGTCCTTAAAACAGAAAGAAAATTATACACACCAGTGTATAAAACTAGAACCAACAACTACAACAATAGCCAAACAAACGCTGTTTCTGCACTATGTAGAGGCCTCTCCTACACGTATGATTGCTTCCAAAATGCACTTTATGTTCTTTTGTTTATAAATTAAAGGAGGGCCTTACCATCAATAAAGATGTTCTCAATCTCAGATACAAGAGGCTCAAGGAAAGGATCCAATGAGTTTGGTCGTTTTTTGGGCAGCATGTGACTTGGTACAAAGCCAACCACATACACCTCTTCAGTTGCACACCTTTCTTCTTTATACATGTTTGCTATAGAAACCTCTATAGCACCTGCATTGACAATAGAAGTGGAAAGAAACAATGTGTTATGTTTTAATTTTAACTTTTGACCACAAAGTTTTAACTTAAAAATAGTTAAAGTTTGATTTCTAAGGAATTTGTTAAGAGTATGATGTACAGTTTGCACACAAACAATTTGATTAAATAGAGACAACAGGTGCAGAGCTAGAGTTGCAGTGATTATTATCATTGTAAAAATTTTCAGTAAAGTCTATTTATGGACTTAAAACAAGATAGAATATTCAAATGACAAAACAAAGAGTCGTGAGGATTAAATGTGCAGCTCCACATGCACAGTATTGACTACAAATAAGACAGTTAGTAGAAGGGGTTTGATTTGTGTAGCTTCCACTCTTCTTCCAATGTGGCGGCACACACATACAGTAACCACTTTTTAACAAGTCGACACACCACAACATTAAATAATAATTGAAAATTGCATTAGGAAATCCTGGGTCCAGTATTGTTCAAAGTCATAACACTAATCATCAAATAAAAGTCAATCAAAGTTTAATTTATCTTGGATTCAAGGTTTTTTCACTGCATGCTAACGTTTTGTACAGTCAAAACACAGATGGACAAAAAAGTAAAGGAAGAAACCTCACTATAAAGAGTTACAACATTGGAATCAATATTCAAGCTAATCCTGGACTACACATTTAGTTAAACTGCCCTTCAAACAACAAGGCCCTGGAGAGGTACATACTGTTATTTATAGAAAGTAACTTACCACAGCTATGTTGACCAGGTGCTCCAAATGGTTGCCAACCATCCCAGTGCCCTATAAGAGCAATATTTCGGGGTTCACCTCGAACAAACTTTGCTTGATAGTCTATCTTAGTTCCACATTCATCACACTGCAACGTGTACACTCCATCTCTTTCCGGAGATCGCCTGATTTCTTTTTCACTGATAACAATACCACAGCATTCACAACGGCATGGTAACATCCACTCAGACTCTGGGTTCCAAAACCATGACAGTTCATTAAAGCGACTACCATCCCAGACTTCTTTCAACAGAAAATTTGATCCAGTGCCACTTATCCAATTATCTCTGTTCACCCAGTGAGCTAACATTTTCCTGCACATATTAACATCAGAAAACCATGTCCGAATCTTGTCAGACAGGCCAAGATAATAATACTTGATTGACCCTGGTCTTCCACAATGTTTGCAGAGGGAAGAAGGTGACTCCATTAAATCTTAATGACATGGGTGACTTCCATCAAGACATATGAAATATTCTTTTGGCCCTCTGTAATCAAATTCTTTTAAAAGCTTCTCAGTCTCTCTCCAGTTCCTTGGCCAATAATTCAAAGCAGAGCGATTGCAGTCATTACAAAAAAATAAATCTTTCGCAAAAGTTAAGACATCCTCAAAGTCATTGCATGAACCGTGCATTTGGTTTACTAACATCAGGGCTTTACACATGACACATACAATTTCTTCTTTCAACTCTGTCTCATCTGAACTTTGTTCTTCTTGTTGCTGGTCTGGAGATGAACACTCTGGTACACCATTGCCATTACTGGATTCCAAGAAGTCATCATCACTGTCACCACCATCAGCACTTGCACAGCTGTCCATAACGTCATTTCCTTCAAAGGACTCCTCTTCTGGTTCTGCCTCAGAGCTGTGCAGGCAAATTTTATCTCATATTGGCAGTTTTAATAAACTTCTACAGGCAACCAAATTTTTATGGAACAAAAAGAAATAAATATAGGAAAATGTACAAGGAGATGACCAGTGGCCTGAGATAAGGAGGGGACGATCTTAAAAAAACTTTTTTCGGCACTTCAGGTCTCAGTTTGGTCTAAAAATAAGCAGCGGAGGGGGGCAGGCCCCTCCCCCGGATCCGCAACTGATAACAACTAACAGAGAAAACTGCGATTGTTTGTGTGTATTTATCGTTGCCTTGTCAATTAAAAAAGAAAGAAAAGTCAGAGACAAAAGGGTCTTCACTGACCAACAAAATCTCTTACAGAAAAGATCACGTCTTAAGTTTATCTTGTGAGAACAATTCGGTAACCAATAAGCTTTACATAGAGTGTTTTCACGCTCTCTTTTGTTCCAATAGATTTGCATAGATGCTTATAAATGTACGTGAGTAAAAACATTCTACACAAAAGCAAGTTATTTTAAGACGTTATTCAGTGAGTTCTTCGTGCCGGCATGGCTGTGGCTTTAATTTACCCGCCTGTAAAAGCCGGGTTTTCTTCATATAACGGATAATTTTGTGACAGCTTGCATTGGGCACAGTTCTTTTTGTAAAAGTTGTATAAAATGAGAGAATTGCCTTTCCATAAAATCATGAAACAAACACTGAAAGCTTTAGAATGCAATCATGTAGCTTTGCAAACTCACCTTAGAGAGACAACGTTGATGGACTGCAAGGAATTTTGTAACGTCCAGTGTCTATACTCAACTGATGTTGAGACAGGCTTTCCACTACATGATCTGCAGGGGCAATGGACATGAGTGTACGAAAGTTCACTGCAGTGACAACGAACAATTTCGCTTCGATCCCAACTTCTCTTTCTTCCTGCCATTTGCTTTCATACAACTACAGCATGTCTGGAAGTCTGCTTCGATCGTGTTCAAGACTGGGTCGAGTGCTTTGTTACTGCGCGTGAAAGCGAGGCACACTACCCCGTATATCGTACTTCGCGCCAAAACTAAAATAGTGAAGAGGACGAAAGCGTTCGTTGCGGAGAAAAAGGTCGAAAGAAGATGGCCACGGCCGTTAATAACCGAGGGGCATGTACTAAAGCAGAAGATATGAGTGTTTTGGAAGTTTTTCAGTGGATAAAAACTAACTTTAACGAAACAGTCGCCGCCAAATTCAAAGGTAAGCTAAAGTCAAACTCCACTGAGCGAAGTACACAAGTGGCGCGAAAAAAGTCAAGCAAATTTTCCGTACTTTTCTTATTTATTTATTTATTTATTTATTATTTTCCCACAATAAAGATTACACAAGCATTACATTATACAAAGATGTGGCGAGGGGACCTCAGAAAACCACAAGGCTTGTACGAGGAGGCCCCCTCGTTACAATAATATTAAGCAATAGAACTATAACAACACACAACAACGGACAGTACAAGACGCATTATCGATATAGTAGAAAATCAAAAACTTTCGTTTTAAACGATTGCAATGTAAAAATCGAAGTGACTGAGTTTGGTAAAGAATTCCAAATTTTAGGGCCGAAATATTAGTTGGATTTAAGATAAGCGACTCATTAACAGAAGCGCCAAGAAAACTACGAAAAGATACTTGTGTGTCTGGAATTTTCCTTGCTAAATTCGGACCTATGTTGGTGAAGAACTTACAAAAGCAGTTAGCTATTTCTTGTGGATCATTTAACAGTTTTCCATCAGAGAAAAAGGAATTTGGCAGAGCTGCTTTTCTGCTCGGTTTGTTGATTACATCATTGATTAGTTTCCAAGTTTCTTTCAGGTTATTTTTAGCCTTCTCAAATTTTGCATCATAGTACTTTCGTTTAGCAATTTTTATAAGATGATTCAGTTTGTTCCGATAGCGTTTGTATTCTAACTCAGTAGTTGAGTCCCTAGAATTAATGAACTGCTTATAGAGTTTATCTTTTTTCCTGATAGAAACAAGCAGAGATTGCGTTATCCAAGGGGAGCGCATTACTTTCTTTGTTTTAAGTTTTATCGTTTTTAATGGAAAGCTTTCATTGTATAATCGAACATACTCACTCACAAAACTATTATAACATTCATTAGTATCGCTTTCATCGAAACGTAAATTCCAATTAACACGAGAAAGAGAGAGCCGAAAATTGCTCTTATTGCTCTTCTTCTAACGGAGCAAAACATCAATGGAAAAGGACTCCCTTTCCTAGCAAATAGAGGCACCAAAGACCAAATGGAAGCCTGTGGATTGGAGCTTATAGGCGACCAAATGAAATTGTTGGAGGTTCTCGACGCAATGGAGTCGGACATAAGCTTTAAAAACCATCAACCAAAAAAATTGACAAAACCATCAACCAAAAACATCGACAAAGAACTACGCAAGCGAATGTACAATGCTAAGTAAGTTGGATTTTTCTTTTACTTTGTAAGTTTACAATTAAGTCATCGTCTGAGGTGAGGCTAAAAAAGGAACATCCCAATGTAAATCCTGAGTGGAATTTATGGGGAAAGGATTGGGTATTTGACGAAATCTACATCGTGTTGTTTATTTTTTATTAGTTGATGTGATGTTTGAAGTGACCTTAGATATTAACAACACTCGGTGCCTTTCTCTCCGACTGTGAGAGTGAAAATTTATTTTTGTAAACTTCAAGTAGAAATCTTCATCTGTTAGTCAAAACAAAATGTGAACTTAATCTAGCTTTCAACTAGATAACTATTTCTACCTGTATTTTTACAGCTGATGATAAATGCTAAGGAAACAGTTTACGTTGTATCTGCCAGAGAAGGAAGAGGAAATTGACCAAAGATGATCTTTTTTTTTCTAAACAGAAAGAAAGCTGTGAGAGCTGCTGTAATAAAAAAGTGGCCAGGAAATGACCTACCAAATTTCAAGAAAAATCCATCTCAGCTTAAAGTCTTACACGAGTTGGTTGAAGAATTAGAGGAAGATTGCACATATATGACAGTGGGCTTTAACAAAGAAGCCATCCGTAAGCACATCTTGGACATTTTAAATGAACGGCGCAGACATGTTAGAAATGGACATGATTATACAAAGGTATGACCATGTTTTTTTTTTGGATCCTGTGTTTGTAGTTATGCACCCATAGGTAAATTACATGGTTTCCTTGACAGGTGGATAAGGCTAAGAAGAAGCAATCAGCTCAGGTGGCTTCATGTAAACCAGATGATACACAAACTGAAAATGATGAGTGTACCCAGCCTGAAAACAGTGATGGTGGTGATACTGAAGATGTGCGTTCATCTGATGATAGCCAGTCATGTAGCAGTGCTTCTTCCCCTTCAGCCTCAATACTGCCCTCATCTGAGGATGATGAGAGCAATAAAGGTATTTTTGGACTGTATTTACTATTTGCCAGACTTTAAACAGAGTCCTCATTTCTCGGAAAATAAAGGAATGGACACCCAAAACAGCACAAAAATATTTCAGTGAATGATACTCAACTTCATCGTCTCAATGCCTTCTTTTTCATGCATGTTGCTACAAAATCATGCACCACACATTTTAAAAATCAAGGGCATAACCTCTTGTATCATTTTTTGCTACTGTCCAAAAAACAAAAAATTGCAACCTTTTTTTTACTCTTTGTTGACTTGCAGTTTCTAAAAAAAATATACTCAAATAGAGCCCTTATTCACTCACAACTGTTTTTGTTATTGTAAAAAAAATTGACTCCATTTTTCTATTGTTTGTACTGTTATTGATCATAGAAATGATGGCATAAAATATTGAAAACTTTAAAAACCACCGAGTTTTGAACATTTTATGACGTCATTTCTATGATCAATAAGAGAACAGACAATCCCTGTGGTGATATCAATGTTGGAAGCAGTTCCCAAGATATGGTCCCTCTTACTTGGTAGGGTTAAATTAATATTATAGCTTACTATAGGGAGTTGGGTTAACTATAATTATAATAGTGCCAATGATATTATTGTTAACTTTCTTTATCTTTTTCTTTTCTCACAAGGCATTCCTATGGCTTCAGCTAAACTTATAGTGCGATGTGCCTTCAATGAAGTTCGAGTGGTAGACATATCACGTTCACAGTTGCAATCAGCTGCTAAAACATTAAAGGTTCCCATTAAAGAATCTGAATCAAGGTCAAAGGAGGTGTTGATTTCCAATGTTGCACAAGCTCTTGTCAGTAAAGGATTTGTTAAAATACCACCCAAAGAGAAAATTTCAAGAGATGATGTTCAGATCTTGAAGCCTTTTTAACTCACAACCTTGGTGGCCTTCCTGTTCCTGTTATGTACCTTAGAAAAAGCTGTTGGTGTCGTCTCTTTATCTATAAGTCATGAATCTCATCCTTCAATGTACTTAAGACATTCAATGGTACAGAAGAGAAAAATGTGTTAATATTATCACTTTTGGGCCAGCTTTTACTTCTAAAGGCTCATACTGTTAATATTTCTTTTTCCTGCTAAGTCAAATTTGTTCTCATTGTTGTCCTGTCTGAGGATTTTATGTGGTAAGTTAACATGTGCAGGTTTCTTTATATTGTACCAGTTTTTGTAATTACTAACGATGTCAGCCTATTGTATTGCCAGGTGTTAGGCGGTCAAATCTTGTTCTGTAAATTATTGTCATTTCTGAAGGAAGACATTAAAACATTCATTATTGAAATGATTTAATTTCTAAACATCGTTATTAGCTCTCAGTTTAACAGACTGGCACATATTACTGTAATGCAACCAATGAGCTAATTTAGTAATATTGAAGATATATGCCAAGAAGAAAAACCACTGTGATGTGACACCCTTGGCAATGTCACAATAGTAAGAAATCCAAACTCAGGTATGGCTCTAGGAAAACCACTTATGGAAATGGAAACAATTCCATAGATGTTAACAGTTAAACCATGAATGTCATCATAAATAACATTAAGTGGTACTGCTTAAAAACCAATAATGGTTATAAATCAAAACCCAGAAATATTCAAAGAAAACCATTCATGGAAATATACAAAAAAACACAAAAGATTAAAAGAACCATCCATGTTTTCTTAAGAAAAAACACCAATGTGTTTGGTTGCAAACTTAAATGGGAATACCTTAAAACCCAAAATTTTTTTTTCAGGATTAACATTCATGGAAATAGAGGAAAATCCTGTAATGGTACTAGTAGAAACATTAATGTTAAAAGGAAAAAAAACATGATGGGACTTGCCTTTTTACCACTAATGGTATAAGTCAAAATCACAGTAATGGAAAATTTATTGCCATGAATGTTTTCTGTATAAAAAACATTAATGGTTTCAGTTCTGCTTTCCCATTAATGTATTTCAACATGTTATTCTATCATTTTCCATTAAAAAAAACAAGAATGATTTTTTAAATTTTTTCCCTGTGCATAAGCGGTGCCAGCGGGTACGAGCTCACAGTCCAACCAGATGATGAGGTGTTTGCTGTTTTGCCTTTGAGACTTTATAATGGGTTGAGCATAGGCCAGCCCAAAAGGGTAATGGGTAAGTAGGATGTCGTCTACCATGTGCACCATGGGGTAGACAGACTCACTGCCCTTCTGGTAGTTGCAGGATTAGTGTTATTTTGAGAGGCAATAATAGTGGCCTCCTGGCCGTTGACTACACGGGCTTCCTTGTCGTGATTTTTGATGAATATTACTTTCATGTGACAATGAGGAAAGATGGGCTTGGAGTTGGCCACAGAGGCACAAGGGATTTGGGAGAGTGGACGTCCTTCGTAGAGGTGATCAATGACGATGGTGTTCACTTGTTGGGTGCCCCGCCTGGACACCGTTATAACACTGGACTCACGATTTCTTTCAAAGGCATGCCATATGTCTTCATCGCTGACGGGGCCAGAAGGACATACGACAATCCCTTGCTGCATTGCGCCGACCTGAGGTTTGATAGGACAAGTTACCCTAATGAGATCCAAAATTTTCCTGTAGTCCAGATCGACGATTCTAAATTGCTGGTACAGATGATGCTGCACGGCGTTCTGCGAATGGAATGTATTGTCATTGGTTATTGATGTCGTGGAAGTGATTCCGCCGTTGATGGTTTGCAGTGGTTAGCTGCAAACCATTGACTGATGAGGTTCAAAGAGAAAAATAGATTTCCGGGATTTTAAAACTTCTAGAACATTTTTATTTTTACATTTTACATTTCTTATACGTGCGTCGAATGTGGTAAAGACATGATGTCTTATTTTGCAAGTAGGTCAAGTGAATGTTGAAATAACGTTTTGGGATAACCACCATTGAAACTGCAACTCGGCTGTCCTTTTTGTTTACAGGTGCAAAAACAAATGCAAAAACGAACAGCTCTTACTAAAACAGTAAAAATGAAATAATCGACGAACCAGAGTCTTATCCTTTGCTTACTAAGGGGGGTAGGGAATTTTTTTTTTAATAACATAGGCCTATGACTGAAATGTTTGTCAGGCAAAAACATTACCAAAAAACTCATAAAACCATACATATTTATAAAGAGCATAAAATTTCCCTTCATATGAGATAACTTATCATGGGATACATTAAATCATGTGACTTTCTGAATGCTTAAATTTACATAACTAAGTAAATATTCAAGAGATATTAAGAGCCATTGTCAGAGAAAACCGGGCGGTGCCAAAAGACTGGGGTCAGCCGATTTCCTTTATGTTTTCAGCATTAAGAACCAAGCTGATAAGATTAACTTTGGTGACATTAACAAGATTTCCCGGCTTTTCACTCTCGAGATTGACCACCCCCCTTGTTTTTGGCCAAGGGAAGCCCTAAAAACCACCAAAAACAATGGCAATTTCTCGGGTCTAAAACAATTTTTCCTTAAGGAATTAGTGCACAGATTTTTTCTGAAGCTAAAGTACCTTAAAATAAACGTTTTGGATGCATAAAATCAAGTTTTTAGTGTAACGGTAATTTTGCCCAAGGGTTTTAATCCGGTATGTTGCGTGACTGTAACAGGACAGCGAATTTCGGCGATTTTCTAAGCCCATTTTCTTGAAAGTGCGGCGGTTTATTTTTTATTTAATTACAGATTTAAACAGTCTATACCCTCCTAAATCAAAAACAAAAGTTTATTGATCGGCACAAGAAACTCTTTTCACGCTTGAATTTTGTTGGAAAATGTCAAAGATCGCTCTTACGGCTAACTGCTCGCTGAAGTTTAAATAGCGGCAATACTGCATTATAAAGGTACTAATCCATTTTAAATGAGTATTTTATATTCCACTTAGGTTTGAATAAAGGGAAAATAACTAAAATACTATTGCTTTAACGTAAGGGTTATACAAGACTGCCATCATGCACGCAAAGGTCTCAATTACTTGGTACTTGATGATTATTGTCTGGCCTATGCGAAGTTAGCTAACAGGACGATGTATGTGCTGTCCTATCTAGTGATAAAATCATCACGACTTTTGTATCACATCATCCAACAGAAATTCTCAAAGTTTTCGCTTTGTATGCAAAGTTTGTTACATACCCTGCGAGGAGATGCTACATTTTGTCTGTGTGACCTGTCGTGCGAAAAGTAGTCTCTACCCACAACCGTTCAAATCCGTCCAGAAATCTGGACGAATAAATTTTAAAAACGGTTTTTTTTCCTTTTCTTGACCGGTTTCGAGCATTGCGTGAGTCTTGCTTAGCAGATCAGAGTTGTCGCAATTATTTTTATTCCCACCTAAACTCGCGCCATTTGACGACAGGCGTGACAATTAATTTTGCTTGCGAATGGCGTGCCAATTTCAGCGCATGCATGATAGAAAATTGAACGGTTGTCGGCAGAGGCTACTTTTCGCACGACAGCTCCCACAGCGAAAATGTAGCCTCTGCTCGCAGGATATTTGTTACATCGATCACTACTGACAAAGCCCAACAATGTATTTTATAAAATGCGAGAGAAGAATACGTCGTGCAAAATTCAGTTATTTCCGACATGAGCACAACTTAGTGTAGGCATCAAGTGGTTCAGTAAAAGTACGTTTTCTTGAGTTGCTACCATTTGTTCGCAGACTTAATGCTCTGCATACTTCTCTCAACTGTGCTAACTTCAGCGAACTGAGCTTTCCAGCACGCGAAAGTTCACAAACGTTTACTGCTTCTACTTTAATAGGGTGACTGATATTTTGTTCAATGTCTCTGTAAACCTCCTGGCGTATGGCTTGAATGTAGCCTTCTGATTCAAGGGCTATGAGGTCTTCGTCTGTTACTTCTTGTTCCTCCTCCTGGCTCTCTATTTCATCAGCTTGTCTTTGGCGCTGCAACGCTGACATCCTTGCGAAAAAGTTACTAATTTGTTGAGCGGTTCTCCATTCGTCTGGTTTAAATTGTAACGTTCCACTGCTATCTCTAATACTCTTCATCTCTCTAGCCACGTGAATTGGATCAGCCTTTTGCCCTCCCGCTACTCCTTGGTTAAATTTCTGAACAAGAAAGGCTTTTACTTTCTTTTCCATCCTGTTGGTCCGCTTAGTTGATTTAAGCGCCCACCCTTTATTACGGTGTTCTCTAGCACTGGAAGGCCCGGCTTCTTCAAATGCAATTCGCTGTCTATCTCCGGTAGCCACATGCATCTCTCCGACTCGGTCAGCCCACTTCTTTTCGTGCCGCGCATCGTACACAGACTCACAATCTAGATCTGACGTACGTACATGCTTCCCTGCGTCCATTTGAGCTTCCGCTTCTTCTCGAGTCTTGAACGTTAGCACGTATGTACTTTCACTGCATAAGAATATTTCTCCTCGTGGACTGGAAGCATGGCTAACTGAGCCAAGATTGTTGCTACGTGGACCCCACTCCTTTAGGACTTTCAATCCAGTTTCTTCCTGTGGTACAACTTCAAGCTGACTGTATGATAAGAATCTGCGGGTCCAACGTTGAATGCACGCCAAGCGCGTATTCCGTTTTCCTCAAACGAAAAGTTGTTAAGAAGGCTGATACATGGTATCTTGTTGGCGGTGATTTCTTTATTAGTGTCCACTTTGACAACTGCCGCCCTGACTCCTTTTACTCCTCCATGCGACTCTAGTGCTGTCTTCATGTCTTCCGCAGTGATGACATTGTGTTTTTCATTGACCCATCGTCGTAGGTGTGCCTTCATAGGAACGGTCTTTCGGTCACAGATGTCTTTTCCGGACTGTGGCTCTGAAAAGTCGTAACGCAGAATTGTCATGCTGGTTCGTTGACCAATGAACGGAAGACTGAGCAAAAGAGGTCCACTATGGTAGCAACCTGCGTTATCGGATCTCAGGAAAACATTTTCAATCTCCGGTGATTCTTTCTTGATGGTATTTAAAAGATGCTCTATTATAGAGGCCACAGCAAAGCTGTTCTGCGTGCAGTTATCGAACAGATGGACAAAACATTCCACTTGGAATTTTTCAGTATGCTTAGTGATCACAGCACTCACATGCCAGCTTCATCCTCGTTTTCCGAAGAAATCACTCATTCGTTCCCGATAACGTTGTGGGAGGTATTTCATGGCCCAATCCATAACGATTAAACATGAAGCTGAATCAACATGTACAAGAGCAAATTGCTTTCCTTCTTCTTGATTTACTGTTTGGAGCAAATGCGCCTTCCACTCCTGGATAGATGCCAAACAGAGTTTGTAGTCGTGGCTTAACCGCCATCTGTGCTCCTCCGGCATCTCAACACGGTTGATCTCGGATTCAATTTCCTTCAAAACTGTCTCTAATGATTCGCATTGCTCGCAGTCAGTTTCATGTTCGTGCTGACATATGCTTTGCAGGTTGGAGTCACTTGTGTCACCTAGGGCATGTGCAGTGCAGTGATCAGCACAAGTTTCCTCTCTGCCAACATGGGACTTAAACTCAGTCTTAAGGTATCTCTTTGCCTCCTTGATTTTTGTTCTGCATCCTTTACCCAGGTAGCCTCCGATCCATAGTCTCCAAGCGTCTTAAGCACGTCAGTGACATTGTCTATGGCCTCCGTCCCTTCTGCTGTAGTGTTGTCGAGTCCCTGCAAAGATTTTTGCATTGAGGCACCACACACCTCTATTATTCTGTAGAGTGAACGCTGTCCTGCTGGTTCAAAATTCTGCTCTTTGCAGTAAACTGAGTATTGCTCAATTATTCTTGACGGTATCATAGTCCTTATAACTGCGGGAATGATAATGCTTCCTCCCGTATCGAGCTTAAGCACTTTTGTGCCAAATGCTACGTCCTGCAGCATCTCAGGTCTTGCGATGTAATCGATAAAATGATCAATTTGAGCGGGTGAGATTCGGGAACGGAAAATTGGCTCTTCTTGGAACAGGCAGACCTTCACCAACTTTGGTAGCATGCTGTCGAGCTTCATCTATTCGCCATTTTGAAAGTGTTGGTATCATGCTCATCAACTGGGACCTGCTAAAATCATTGGCAAAAAAGAGAGAGTATCTGTCGTTTTGTTTGCCACGACTCGGCATGGTTATATGACTTGATCAGAACGTCGATTAGCCCAGATCTCGGATCAAAACTTCTACGTCTAGTGGCACCAGCAGAATCCTTATTTACTAATCTTTCCTGTCGAAGAGTGGTCCATAATTCCTCTTCCTGTCCAGGGCTAAGGACCGAAAGTGCTGTGCAGATGCTTTCTTTGGCCTTTCGCAGAGAGTACTTTTGCTGTGTTGTCGATATATCATCCCAAGACGTATTCAAAGTTGACAGAATAGGTGAAATTCTTCCTCCAGATAAAGTGCTAATGGTATTGTTCAGTAGCTGCCTTCTCTGTTGCTGTTCCTCTACCCGTCGGACCAGATACTGATTTCTTCTTCTGGGATACTTTGTTGGGATGATTGTGATGATGATGAAACCATCTCTTGTTCTGCATTAGACGTTACCAGAACCCCCTGATCTTCATTCTGCTGCGGCAGTTCAAATACATCTTCATCACCAGCCACTTGAGACTGTCAGTGCAATAAAAGGGATATTAATTACATTTCCATAATTTTTCTGTTACGCTGTTACCGAGAATGGAGCCACAGAAAAGGGAGTTACAGGACTCCTTCACGAGTAAAAACCACTAAAAGTTGCAAACAGACTAAAACCTGAAACCGAATTTTCAATTTGTTGTCATCCAAAAATTTTTGCGACCATGGCAACGTGGCGTGACGTAACGACTTCTCTCTATTGCATTCAAACCTTTCCCGGTACTAGAGCCTACCCCTCGTCCTTACATTAGAGATTTAGAATCAGGGCAAACAGCAAACGTCGATTTGCCGCGTCTCTTTTTTATTGTAGTTTACTAGTCATGATATCTACACAAATAGAAGTTTCAACTGAAAGCGATCTATACAAAACTGATGTACTCACTATACCTTAGTCGCTTTATTTTGTTATAATTTTGTTTTAATAATTTTTTTAATTGATAGATTTGTTACGTAATAATATGTTAGAGCAAGCATTTATGAAAGTAAAAATGTTTTTCCCTTTCTCCAAAATAAAAATCTTTGTGTCACATTTACACCCTTCCCCTCCCCATTAAGGACACTCTCTACAACGCCCCCTCAAAAAGTGGCCGTCGAGAGTGGTACTGGTCGGACTGCATCAAGCTTGCAGGTCGCTAAAAAACGTTAGGGTGGGGATAGCTAGTCCATCTAACTCCATCTATTTTCAAACTGAAAAAAGAGACATTAACTTTGGCAATGCTATCTATCGCTTTTTTCGTTCTCAGTTCCTAGCTTCCCAGCAAATGATATTTTGTTCCAAATTCCTTCCCTCCCCGAGTTTCCCATCCACGTTTCTTTCACGATTTTTCTGTTGTTCTTCTTTTGTTTTCTTTTACAGTCTTGGATAGGTTTTTAAATATTTAAACCTGTTGTTAAGTGTTTCAGATGCCTAGCTTAAATTGCGTGACTAAAGAAAGCAAATACACAACCTGCTGATCGCCCCTTCCTCTTTCAGAGTCTTCTTCATGGCGTAGTCTGTAATGCTCTGTGCGACACTTTACACAAATAGCTAATACAAATGAAATGGATAAAGATTAAAAATGTCACTCTTAATTCAAACCCCAAAAATCGAATTTTATACATAGTTTGTGGGACAGCTAAAATTTAGACATTGAGTTTCAATCTTGTCATCAGTGAAAGTGGAAAAGTACTAGCACTTAAAACATTTTAAGAAAATAGCGCGAGATGAATGATTATTTTTATTTGAAAAAATTTTCCTGTTATAAAATAATCTGAAAAACGTTTACAGTTGTAGTTTATAGTTCCTGTTCAAGTAGGCGTGTCACGCTGTAGCTTCTGTCACGACAACACTTGAAAAGACTTTTGTGGCAAAAAGGCTTCCGTTTAGCCTCGTTGAAGCGCAGGCGTATTTCGGTGGTCGCTTCTCCCTCCGTTATTTTTCAGAGGGAGAGAAGTGACGACCGGAAATACGCCTGCGCTCGCAGGCTAACTTCCGTTCTGAATAAAAGTATCTTGCTTGCTCACCCCATCCTCGGAGACCCAGGGGCAGTCAGTCTGTGCTTGAAAACTTTCTTCGCGCCTTTTCTCCCGACCCGACTGACTGCCCCTGGGTCTCCGAGGATGGCTCACCCTTGTTTGATTTATGGCACATCCAAGGAAATTTACCCCAGCCCCCGCGCTTCTGTTGATATAGGGCCTCTTCATATGAGCCCGGTTGACCGGCTGGCTCGGTTGCCGGGATGAATTTTGCCTTGGGTTCATATGAGAAATTTCAGCCCGGTTTCCGAGATGAGAAAAGGTCAAAGATCCTGGGTACGAGTTCTGGCGCCAAATTTGGGAAACAAAGCAACATAGCGAAACACAAACATTTTAACTTTCGGGCCTATCTTGGCATCGGTAACTCTTAAAGCTGTATCACTGCAGTTAAATGGGATGCTTATTATGTGGAAAATACAGCAGGCAATGCAAGATGATGCCATCCGGACCGCCAGAATTCATCCCGCCGTTCATCCCGGTAACCGGGATGATGTGTTCATATGACAATATTTCCAGCCCGCTTACCGAGATCTCGGGAACCGAGCCAGCCCGCCCTCTCATATGAACACATTGAAAACTTTTACAAAGGATTTAGAGGTGAGGCGAGATCTCGGAAACCGAGTCAGCCCGGTTAACCGGGCTCATATGAAGAGGCCCATAGTGGTGCCTTAAAATTTGCAACTTGATGCCAGCGCTTTCACTACAATAGTCATACTCGATACGCCTAGAGCCTAGAGCCTTTCGTGATATTTATGGGAAACGTAATTTACCAGGTAAGATCGACAAAAGGATTTTAAAGTAATAAGAGACACTCACCGGACCCAACTGGGACAGCAGCATTGTGTAAAGCAAAGATTTCCTTGGACGTTGCGTAATTGACACGGCGTGGGTCCTTGACCTGCTTGCGTTGACCTTCGTGCAATGGATAGCAACATGTCGAACTTTTACGACCTCTCCAGTCGACTGTCAGGTCTCTTCTGTGTTTAGGACAGATGGTCATGGCTGCTACTCTGTCTTGAGATAAATCGAAGTGTCCTGCTCTGTTCAAGATGAGCTCCTTCTCAGTGATTTCTAGTCCTTCGGATCGCCATCCTCGCTTGCTACTCACACCAAGTCCCAGTAACTGTGGTGTTATGTCTTCTTTACAAGCATCCAGCGGCAGAACATTTGTACTAGATCCGTAAGAACTACAAGGTGACTCTTGTGAAGCGAACGAACAGTTCATATTTTAAAGCAAGTCTGGTACAACGAAAAGTACGCAAATTTCAAGTAGTCGTAAATGAAACCTGATAACCCAGCGGCGCCGAGACATACAAATTTATAGATGTTGCTCGATCTCAAATTACGCAGCTACAATTATACGTGTAAGTCGTTTATTAATTTCTTAATTTCATATTTTGGCCAAGAAACATTTTCTGCAAAATCCAAGTAAAAAGTATTCTCCTGAAACTTTATATGACTGAAAATTCGTCGCACAGACAATTTAAAAATCGTCCATTCATTTCTTTATAATTAATTCTAATTAATATGTCTGCTTTATAATTTGTATCATCATACGGTACGACTGCAACGGTTTCCGCTGTTCCAAAGTAAGGTTGATTTCTTTTCATTGCAGTATCCTTTCCAAATTATTTTTTTCTTATACGGGTGATGAAGTTTTCAGCCGTCTAAAGTTACAATTTAAAGGCCATTACCAAAAAGCAAGGTTACATGCTTTATGCAAAATACCGCAAAATCACGTTCGCGAAAATAGGTTTCCTCTGAAAAGAGTTTCTTGTACCAATCAATACTTTTTTCTTTTGACTTAGAAGGGTATAGACTATTGTAAAATGGAATTATTTAACAAATAAACCGCCGCACTTTCAAGAAAATGGGCTTAGAAAATCGCCGAAATTCGCTGTCCTGTTGCAGTCACGCAACATACCGGATTAAAACCCTTGGGCAAAATTACCGTTACACTAAAAACTTGATTTTATGCATCCAAAACGTTTATTTTAAGGTACTTTAGCTTCAGAAAAAAATCTGTGCACTAATTCCTTAAGGAAAAATTGTTTTAGACCCGAGAAATTGCCATTGTTTTTGGTAGTTTTTAGGGCTTCCCTTGGCCAAAAACAAGGGGGGTGGTCAATCTCGAGAGTGAAAAGCCGGGAAATCTTGTTAATGTCACCAAAGTTAATCTTATCAGCTTGGTTCTTAATGCTGAAAAAATAAAGGAAATCGGCTGACCCCAATCTTTTGGCACCGCCCGGTTTTCTCTGACAATGACTCTTAAGATATCAGATGTTAACTGAAGAAAAATCCATCTGCATCCAACGAATTTCAACAAATAGTGTCTTAAGCCAGATTTCAAAAGTTAAAAGGTTGCAAAGGCATCTTTCTGGTAGACAGTGTGCAAATCAGCACTTAATTAAGCAGCTTAATTGTCTCTGTAATGGTAAAAAGACGCACATTTTGACAAGAGAAACAGTTCAAGTCAATCTCAATCAACTCATTCATCCCATTACTATTTTGCAAGCCTTACTTAACCACATCACTACAGACCCTAAAACAATGTTAAATTTCGCAGTGCTCTCTTCCTCCCCCTTTGAAATGGCCTCCCTTCTTTTTAGTCTTCTGGGACCACTGTAGTGGTTGTGATCAAAGTAGTTGTCCTGTAATGTGTGGTACCTTAGAAAACAGGGTTCTGGGCACATTTTAAGTCCACAAATTGCACAAGTGTATGTGGTTTTCAGTTCTTGAATGTGGACTTTGCATGTAGATCTAGTGCCATGACTTATGAGGTTATGAAAATGGTCACTGTTGAACCTGATGTCTGGGATAGCAGCTGGGATTGGATACAATCCTGTATCTCTCCTGAAGCACTTGCCTTCACTAAAGCCTTTATCAATGACTTCCTGAACTCTAGACTGGTAATGCTGGCATGATCAGGGGATTTAGTATGCAAAATATGTGCATTTGATAAGCACACTTCCAACGTGTAGAAGAACACCTTGTAGTACCAAACCACTCCCTTCACGAGTCAGGCATATGAAACAACCCTCTGGTCTGACAAATCGACACCACTCATATAAGTATTATAAAGGTGAACAACACCTGGTCGAGCAAAACCCTTCTTTTCCCATTTGCCATTGACTTTAATAGAGTGCAGGACAAAACCTTCATCTGTTGTTGTTGTTGGAGCAGTTACTGGTTTTCTGTCACGCCATGTCATGCAAGTGACATTTCCTTTTTGCCTATACAAACTCTCTTTCCTTTTATGCTGTTTGACTTTCTTTTCTTTTACACCACCAATTTCTTTAAGTAGGCCTTGCCTTTTGGATCGTACTGTCCCACATGCCAAAGTTTTCCTTTCCTCAAGTTCTTCAAACAGTGTCATAAATGTATAGTAATTGTCCATGAAAACATAATATCCCATGTCTAAATAGGGTTCAATCACTGACATCACTGCTTTTCTTCCCAAATCTTTCTGGACAGCATTGCCTTCCTTACCAGTATAAATTTTACTGTTTAATAAATAACCACTAGTAGATTCTGCCAGCGTAAAAGTTTTAATTCCAAATCTTCCCGGCTTGATTGGAAGAAACTGTCTGAAGTGCACTTTTCCTTTGAACTTTATCAAAGTTTTATCAGTGGCTAGTTGCCTTGTAGGCTTATACACTTGCTGAAAACTAGGTACTATTAAGTCCAAGAATGGCTGAATCTTTAACAAGTTATTGTAATCAGCTGAGTCAGCCCTGGGTGCTAAGGTGTTGTCTGCAAAATGCAAGTATCGCAAAATTTGAAGGAAGCGATCCCTGGCCATTATGCTAGGGAAAAATGGTGTGCTTAGCACGACATCTGTGCTTCAGTAAGAACTAAGGTTTGGCTTATTGACTAAATCCATGTTAAGATATAGGCTAACCCAACCTTTCATTTCATCTGTTGTGACTGGATACAAAACAGAAGATTCTCCAGGGCCCCTTTTCTGTTCTGCATATAAATTAGTTTATTCGACCAACAACTGCCATATACCTCTTCAGTGATAAACAGTGAAAAAAAATCTAGGCAAGATTGGAGGTTTTCAGAACCAACAGTTATTCCAACCTCTTCTTGAATTCTTTCATCTCTACTATTGATCTTCTCAGACCAGTCCTGTTCCTCGATATCCTCATTCAATTCCTCGTCTGTAACCTTGTCAGTTCTTGGTTCGTCTGAATCTTCTTGGCAAGATCCTGACTTGTCGGAGTAAAACTCATCGACAGAGACACGGTGTTCCATAACATGTGTCAAAGGTAAATTGTCTTCGTCAAGGAACTAAATATTTACACTGCTTCGACCATTTCTAGGGTCAAGATCTGACGTAGAATCATTTCTTGCTGTTGCCATTTTTAAATCGCTCTTGTATACGCTATGCTACAAAAAACCTTGACAATTTCGTTAAAAACAAGCCAAATTCAACCAAATCTTTGAAAAATTGGAAAAACTCTTCATGTAAGCTTCACGTAAATGAACCATAAGTTCCCACGCCCCAAAAAATCAGCCTGGGGCTCAGCGGAAGTAAGGCTGTATTTTTCTGGACACATGTCCAGTTAGTATGTCAAGGGTTAAAGCTGCATTGTAAATTTTTCCTGTTCTTTACTGACTTTTTGTTTGGTCTGGTAAATTTGCTTTTTATCACCTCAAAAAAATCAGTTTCTACTACTAATGAAAGTAAATCTTTGCACATCTATACGAATTATTTACTTATTTATATATTCCTTTCTACTTGCTGACATTTCTATACCTACAGAGATGATATTTTAGTCTCTCCATCTGTGTATCTTATTCTACATGAGTTTATGGGAGTCTGTTTTAAATATCGGCTATTCACCTTCAAGAAAAATCATGCTATTTAACATTCAGTGATATTATCAAACAAAACAATATTTGGAAATATCTACAAATTTGATGATTGTCATATTCGCATTTGTGTTCACTATGATGCATCACTGGATCTTCTTTGTCTGGTTGTTATTGTAGCCAGCATAATGGAAGCTTCAACAGTTTCCTCAAGTGCATTCTCCTGTAGATGGGTGAAAAAATGACTCATGAGGCTGAACACTTGGCTGCACTAGAAGTAGCTTCCGGACAACAGCAGACCAATTGGGAAGGGTGCGTGCATGCCTCGCCCACCACTGTACCTTCTCCTCTTCTTCCTCAATAACTGTGCCGTCAGCAGCCGCTAGGTAACGTGGAAGCTCGTTAACAAGGCCATCAATAGTTGCATCATTATTGAGGAAACTGAACTTTCGGAGCTCTGCCACAGATGCGGCATTTGGGTGGAGGTTTTGGACTTGGACTGGGCAGCATAGCCTTGCACTTTTAAAAGCATGGACAAGGTCATGAAACTCTTGGCTGAACTTCCGTTGGAAGAAACGAAGCCCAGGGCTTATGCACTGCTTTGTCCTTGTCACAAGCTGATTGCACAAAGCCAGGTTTCGCTTGGCTTGCCGGCTGGCCACTCCCTCAAGGTTAGGATATGCATCAACTGCCACCAAGTGTGACACACTAGCTAGGCGCTCATAGCAACTGAATATAAGAGACCCATCCCCTTCTAGATAGTAGGTAGCTGTGACAAAGTGTGATCCTCCATCAATGAGTGCTGCTAGCTCCAACTCGAGTTCTTTAGCATCAGATGCATCATTAAAGATGTCCAAGAGTTGTCCGGTTGTAGCAGGAGCAAGATGGTCGTTCTCGTTCTCCCTTAAAAAGGGTTCCACATCCCCGAAGTACTCTAGTACTTCTTTCATAACTTCCCACTTGCTCCACCATCTTGTTGCGCTATATGTTTTCATAGCTGTTCCGGTTCTAGTCTTCCAAGCTAGCCGTACTGCAGCACTGGGAGAACATGCATACCCATACTTGGGAAAATCGGTCTAAGACACGGAACTCAAAATGTTTTCCAACGTTGTCGATGGTGTGAGAGAAACATGTAATGTCTAGCAGCTGAGGAAAAAAGAACTTAACCTGCTCCAAAGCAGCATGATTGACCGCGGCTCCACCTTTCATGGCTGCAAGGAGTACACCAGGGTGGATTGAGTATTCAACAGCCAAAGACTGGATCAGGCATTGAGCAAGTTCGTTCACTTTTAAACTCTTAGCCAAGACTTGAAGTCTTATTAGGCGCTGTTGCACATTCCACTCGTCATCAACAAAACGCACAACGATTACAAGAGCTTCTCCTAGCCTTGTACTCCCATCGAAAAT